TATATATATATATATATATATATATATATATATATATATATATATATATATATATAATTTAGTTATCTTTTTCTTGATATTATTGACCAAAAAAATAAAAAAATTATTCTTCTACATGACTTGTCTAATATCTTCTCGTGTAGCGTTAATAACATATATAACGGCATGGTATGTTTAATATAACAGTAGACCGTTCGTAAGGAATATAACATTTCGGTTATTTATGTACGTATCCCTCTCTCTCTCTCTATCTCTCTCTCTGTGTTGGGAGACCTCCGCCGCGGGAAGACATGGAATCGGCATCGGCGGCAGGCGGTGGAAAGGTGTCGTTCAAGGTGATTCTGACCTCCGATCCGAAGCTCCCTTACAAAGTGTGAGACTCCCTGTCCCCTCGCTGCCGTCGTATCTGTCTTTTTTCTTCGATTTCTAGAGTTTTGGCTCACCCTTGCTTCTTTTCCCTTGATCGGTCGATCCGATCTCAGTTTCAGCGTTCCGGAGGCGGCCCCCTTTACTGCGGTGCTAAAATTCGCCGCGGAGGAGTTCAAGGTCCCCCCTCAGACCAGCGCCATCATCACCAATGGTATAACTGAACCCTTGGTAGTTTGGGATTGGAATCTGCAGTCGAAGGAAATGGTTGAATTTTGGCATAATTTCATGGTCGTGTGAGGATTTTTGTATTTGTAATTTTTCTTTCGGGGTTTTCTTGTGAAATTTATAAAAAAAGTTTGGTAATTCGCCATATATGGCTTCAGTAGAGTTGCACATTTAATGCGAAATTGACGTTCTGGAGGACATACAATATGTGGATTCCCACGTTGCACTGTTCCTTATGTAGATCAAGAGCAAAATGAAAAACCATGGTGAATTGCTTTTTAGGTTTATGTTTCACTGCAATGTAATGGATTGAGATAATTTCCGTGACGGATGTAGAATATTTGTACTCGAGAATAGTTGTAATTCATTTTTTATAATATTTATCTGTGCATTACTTTAAAGTCATGTTCTTTTCTCTCTTGCAGATGGCGTGGGTATTAATCCGCAACAAAGTGCAGGTATGCTGTCATGTTCCCGCTTTTCCTTATCTGTTGCTTTCTTTATTTTCCACAGAAGTTGTTATTTTTCATGCAATGTTTGAAAATTGGATTATGTTGACACGTTTATGGTTGCAATCAGAATTTGTGTCTGCCCCTAGTTTTTCAGCATCAGGATATCCCAATTGGAATTTTTGTAGTTATGAGTTCAGAATCTTCAGATACTGGACTGATATTATTTGCACCATGATTGGCAATACCTTGTTCATTACAAGAAAATCTTCAGATCTGTTCTTCCACTTGGAGAAGAAATTGTCTGAGCACTAAGAATGAGTCATTTTTTGTTAAATGACAAGGTGGCCAGAGAATGATGGTTTTTGTGTTATTCAGAAGAATCTTGAGTTAATAATCCTTAAGAGTGTGAGAAATGCAGAAATAACTATGATTTGTATCTGATATTTAGATCGTCTGAACACGTTTAGAATATTAAAGTTGGTTAGATTCTGTCACATATGAGATTTGGATAGAAATGATTATCTATCTGCTGTGTTACAGATTTGGGTTATATTAGGCTTTTTCATGTGTATTATTATTCCTAACCATATACGTAGTTGATTATCTTAGTTTGCACAATTCTTTGGGGTCTAGGGGTGGATGAAATTGACAGTTTTATGGCTTGTTATGACACAATGAGTGTAAGAGAAGGAACTTGATGGTATTTAATCCATTTTTTTGATACTGTATCTTAAGTTGATTGGTTGTACCTTTCTAGTATTTCAGTTGAGCGATGGGGTGATACTATAGAGAGGACAAAGGGAATAACTATTGATGATCTTCACATGGAACATTGAGAAATTTGCATGTCAAGGTTGTGTATTCAAAGTAGAGATTGCAAATATAGCCAGTTCTCTTGAAACTTTGTATTCCTAGATAGACACGAACATTCTCCAATGATTCATTCCATTTTTTTACTTGGATAGTTGGTGTCAATCAACTTTTTAGTTCATGTTTATAAGTAATTTAAAGGAAAGGCCTACTTGTACCTTTCTGCCCATACTATTGACTTGCAAGAAACTCCTTTCAAGTATTTTGAGAAATTGTTGGCGAGTATGAGTTATCAAATGGGTTCAGCAATGCAAGCGAGTTGCAATGGCAACTGTTGAAACCTTGGAAGTTATGATTATCATAAGACATGCTAAATTTGTTCTAGATTTGTAGCCTAGGAAATCTAGGGGATAGATTAACTTGCCTTAAGTACTAATTAGCTGGCAGGTTGTAGAAGTGCTGTAATTGTAATTTTAGCTCGTTTGACCATGGAGCAATTGCTCCAAAATGCCTTTGGACTTTGGAACAATTTTGGATGGAACAGCAAACAAAAAGGCGTGTTGTAGTTTGGAATAAGCAATTTCAGCCTGAGACCTGAGGACATTGAGAGGTAACCAAGAAGTGGAGCATCACCTTGTATGAGGCTTTTAAGATATATTATAAGCAGTCATTTTCTGAAGATGCACATTTCCTGGAGTTATAGTTTTGCTTTTGTTCAAACTGACTCTCAAAAGTCAATTTGTTGCAACATGATGTGAACTCTTCCCATGTTTACTCACTGTTATTTCAGAATGTATCATATACTCATTTGCTTTTGCAACCTCTCTTCAATTTCCTTTTTCTTCCTCTCAGAAGCTCAGTAGACCTTCTCAGTTGTAATTTTAATTGGAATTTCCTATTCCACTTTAAAAAAATGTGATTTTGCATCATCATTTCACTGTGCATTTCTGCTAAGTTATATTCTTATGCAGGTAATGTATTTCTGAAACATGGCTCAGAGTTGCGTCTCATACCTCGGGACAGAGTGGGAGCTCAGTAGATGTCTAGTGCTCTACCATTTCCAGCACTTTGGAGTTTACCTTTTTTGTTATGAGCCATAATTTTTACTCTGAATTTGTTATTCTGCCTCACATGAGAGGTTAGAAAACATGGCATGTCATTTTACTGGATTGCTCTCTAATATTTAGCATAGTACAAACATGTACGTGATATTGATATAGTGGAGAATGCAACATGGGCCCAATAAATTTAACTATTTCTTTCTTATTTGTTTAATTAAGAATGTAAGCTTTGGCAAGTGAATGTTCTATGACATTGTACGTTTGTCAGAAGTCCAAGGTTGTTCTTGTCGTTATACTGGAACAAGCTAGTTACCTTACATCGTGGATGTGTGAGAGATGAGCAGAGTTTTGCATGCATGTGCATGTAGTTTTCGCTTTTCTGTTGGGTGGAATCATGATGCATGAGCTGTAACATTACTAATATGGAGATTTAACTGGTGCCATTGAGTAGCTCAATTCAGTTGGTGGCAGCTGGGATCATCCCTGGTCATGTTGAAGAACAGACTGCACAAGAAATATCTAGCAAATGTGGGAACCTAAATGTTAGCAGTACCAGGTACTCTTTTGCTGCCTCTAAATTTATCAGAAATTCTCCTGCAGTAACTTTAAGTTCTCAATTGGAGAGCAAGGCTGAATTCTGCTTTTGTTGGGTGCTGAAAGTCAAGTGTCTGCTGTTACCCATGATCTACCATGATTAATATCATGTTGAACTGTCAAGTCATTGGAAATTTTAAGGTTATAATTGCAGCATGGTTTACATATTTGTATTCTATCATTGCACTGATGAAGTCATCCTACCCACGCAGGTTGGGAGTTTTGTGCATTCGGAGGCCTTTCGTTTACTGTGGCCATGAAAAGTCTCACTTGTTGGTCGTATGAATTGCTTTGCTTCCATCTATAATTTCCTCACTGCAAATTGTTAATCTGCTTTGATTTGCCCACTTTCATATTTTTAACCTTAGGAGTCCTGGTGATTGATCTCCCAGATTCTTATCTATCATTACACAGATTTCGTGGGTGGCTTTTATCATCTTCAAAACTAGGAACTGATGCATGCAGTCATGTGTTTTACTAGCTACAGTTTGGTAGTACTCAAAAAGGCTCTTCTTCCTATGTGCTTTAGTTGCGTGCTTGATATATCCATTTGTTGTAGACAAAGAAGATGCTGGAATCATTAGAGTAGGAAGATTTTTAAATAGAATAAGGGAATAGTGCTTTATGTGATTGCCAATACCGAATTAATGCATTCACTCATGATCTACTGGTGGCAATTTTTAGGTGCAATATGCTGGAATCATTGGAGTTGTAAGGTATGTGATAATAATACTTTTGTGATTGTGAACCACTGAAAGGGAATTATACTTTGAAAGAGAAACATTTGGCCTGTACTGATCTTTCACCAAACAGCACCTACTTAGCAGTACTGAGATATGATCTGTTTATTGTTTATTGATGTACTGATTCACACTTGCAGTTCGTCAAATTTTCACTTGATCTTGACAGTACTGATTCAGTGTAATTCTTGTTGCTTTAAAGAAGAATTCACTGAGCCATTTGGCATATTATCTTTCAACTTAATCCTTGAAGAGCTGGTGGAAAATCCTGTAAGAATACAATGGAACCTTTTGACAGATAAATCAAGATTGGGATATAGAATTTTCTGTAACAATGTGCAGAGCACAAACAAACATCAAAGACCACCTAAAGATTGCTTAGTATTTCTCCTTTCACTCAAATGAATTAGCTCTTATAAAATTTTAGATTTCTGCTTGGACATACCTTGTATTTTCTTTCTCCAGGGTTAATGTTTTTGGGACTTTTGGGGTTCTTGAACTAGTTAGCCACTTGGGTGAATTATAACAGTGACTAAAAAGACTCACACCAGTTGAGCCTAGTGATGCTTTTTAGAATGGCCCCAAAGAGATTGATTTTGCTCAAGATAAGCTCATATTTGCACCTTGTGTTATTTGGATATCATGCTGTCAAGAGTCAGCACATGATCTTCTGCAGTGAAGGGAAGCTATCATGACTGTATGACCAATGAGCCCCATTTCCCAGTTGTCTCCTCCATGGACCACATAACATTGTCTTAGCAAGTGTTTCTGGCCTTAATTTACCTGTACTTGGTTTGATCTTATGTAAAGGACAGCATTTGTTAATGTAAACATCCTGTAAAAGCTTTGTAATTTAACTCAAATTCCCAACTGGACCCTCACTACAGACACAAGGGAACCTCACTTGCAGCTTCACCAATAGAAAAGAACTATCCCCATGACTCGAGTACCTCTTATCTTTCCCATCAGCTTGGTATGATCCTAGAAGAGGAGAATCCACTTCAGCTCCCATCTCCAATGGCAGAAGCAAGGAAGCACCATAAGCCCAGCAAGCAGACCTCTTCCCCAATGACAGAAGCCAGTGGTGCCAGTAGAACGATCAACCGGAACTGCAAGAGTAAGAAGCAAGCACATAAGGAAGCAGGCAATGGATCTTCTTGGGGATCCCTGAGAGACTTGTTCTCATACAGATATCAGCAAGAAGTAGAGAAGAAGAAGAAGAAGAAGAGCTGCAGGAAGATTGGATGTTCTGTGTCCCTATGCAGAATGAGGGACAGTTCATGTGTGTTGAGCCCAGAAGCAGTTACAGCTCAAGTCAATAAGAAATTGGCTTTAAGCAGTAGCTGCAATAGTTCCAGTAGATCTTTGAAAGCCCCTTGTAATGACACCAGTGGGGCTATTTCCACTTCCTTTACTTCTAATTCATCTGCTTCCATAACTGCCTCCTCCTCCTCCTCTTCTTTATCTTCTTCTCTTGGAGGATCTTTTGGAGCAATGCATCTAAGGGGTTTTTCTGGGTGCTACGAGTGTCATCTTACTGCTGATCCTCTTATCGGGCCTTCCAGAGATGCTTCTACGAGGCTCACCATCAGTCCTTGTCCTGACTGTGGGGAGATTTTTATGAAGCCTGATGATTTAGACCTCCACCAGAGAGCAATGCACGCAGGTAACTCCTCATTTTTCTCTTGAATCTTTTGTTCCTTCATTGAATTCCAATGTCACTTATTCAGAATAGTTTCATCTCATCTCTGATTTAGCTTCCAACATGAAGAAACCTCGACAAAGTAAATTAGCTCTATGAAATATCCTAGTTTTGGGTGAGTAACTGAGTAAGACAGCAGTCGACTCAATTAAATAATGCCACCTGCTTCTTGAAATGGAAGCATTAATCCTAATCTTTATCCTTGATTCCAATTTTGTCTGAAGTTTTGGCTCATCTTCTGAAGTACTTGAGACTTCTTCTTCTTCCTCCATTAGTTCATCCACTCCCTTTCCATACAAGAAAGTGAATAGTGAAACAGTGATAATTTTTCATGTCCTACTTATTATGAATTGTGTGTTCTCCCTACAGCATCTGAACTGAGTGCAGAAGACACCAGCAGAAAGATAATTGAGATAATATTCCGGTCAAGCTGGCTCGATAAGCAAGCTTCGATCTGCAAGATCGACAGGATACTCAAGGTCCACAACACCCAGAAGACCATCTCAAGGTTCGAGGACTACAGAGACTCCATCAAGAGCAGCTGCAACAGGCTCCAAAACAAGCACCCGAGGTGCGTTGCCGATGGCAATGAGCTACTCAGGTTCCACTGCACCACGCTTGCGTGCTCCCTTGGGCTTGACGGTTCCACCAACCTGTGCCGATCGATCCCGCGTTGCAGCGTGTGTAGCATTCTGCGAGATGGTTTCGGCGTTGATGAATTCGGGAAGATCCAAACCATGGCCACCAGCGGAGGGGCGCATGCCGCAGCGCAGGTCTCGTCGGAGGGCGAGAAGAGAGCAATGCTGGTTTGCAGGGTGATCGCAGGGAGAGTGAAGAAGAGCCGAGATGCCACTGAGGAGTATGATTCAGTCGCTGGCCCAGCAGCAACCCACTCTAATCTGGACGAGCTATTTGTGTTTCATCCCAACGCCATTCTTCCTTGCTTTGTTGTGCTCTACAGAGGTTCTTAGATCAACCAGCATGTCTTGTTCCACTTCTCTCTACCTCTGTGTTTCCATTTGCAGATACCAGTAGCCTTCTCATACTATAGTTGTAGTGCTTGCCATGCATTATCATATATGAGCATGCCTTCCAAGTTTATGTTATGCTTGCCTCTGTTGTTCACATTCCTTTCTTCAGTAAACCTTTATGATTCTAATATGATGACCAAGTACAGTAGTGACTAAACTATATTAGTATGAGGAATCATGGAAGAAAGGACACGAGGAGTGAGGACAAAGCCCTCGACTCATTTTGAGCTGGCAGCTCTTTGTTGCCTCTCTGGTGGAAGACAATAAGCAGTGTGCAGCAGACTCCATGATTATGATGAACACTGCAGATAAAAAATTCTCTCTGTTCTCTCCAGCTTTCTTTCTTTTGAAATAAGTAGATCCAACTGTACATGAAACAAATACAAATAAATCAACTTGAGAGTGTAAACCATAACAAGTTAGTAGGAAAATTTGAGGGCTAAATGTATGAAAATAAGGCAATTATACTATAATAGGGTTTATAGCTCAGATCCAATTTACTAGTTTCAGCCTTTTACTGTTATTGTGAGAATCACTACATCCTCTGCATCATCTCTTTAGGACTCCTCCACTTTTCAGGCAAAGTCATCTCCATGATCTCAGTCTTTCCATTAATAATGTCACAAGAAGAGATGAAGAAAGATACAAGAAAGACTTGACTTAATTTAAAATCTATATATAAATAAATATTTAAATATCCTTAATTTAACTAATAATAATGTTTTGTGCAGAGTTCAATTGCAAAAAAAAGTTTCATTATAATTTGAGCATTACAATTTGTTATCGTTATTATTATCATTATAATTTGATATATGAGAAATAATATTTTAACAAATAATTATTTGTTTGGGTCAAGTGGGCTTATTGAAGCCCATGAAGCCCATCTCACCCAACTTTGTCCTATTCACACATCATCCTGAGGTGGATCGACAAATACCCGAGACGGAACCGGTCGGCTTAGCGGTCCGCAACTCGAGTCGGGGAGTCAATCCGAACCCGGCTCAAATTGCCGATCGCTGCCGATTCCACTACCCTTCCTAAACCCTTTCCCGGTGACGCGGCATCCATCTCCATGACCGCCCTCCTGACACGG